AGAGAGAGAGAGAGAGAGAGAGGAACTTTTGAAGATGGCAACAGTGTGGTAAAGCTAAGTGCAAATAGCTCACATAGAATGCATGAATATCAGTATGTTGTACTGTAGAATGGTGCAATTTCTCAAACAATTTGTCCAAGGACCATACTCTAACTAAATGGTACTCATATAGGTATGAAATATTCACTGATTCACATAAAAGGGATGCTAAAAAATCTAGAAAAACCGGGAGCATGAATCATGAAGAAAATGGTGCCTAATGAATGGAACTAAGGGAAAGGCAATAAAGGATCATCAAATACTCAAAAAAATGTGATGGAGACGCTATTGTAATTGAAAATTTACAGCAAGCAAAGTATAGGAGAAAAGCTCAAAATGAGAAGAGAAATGGTGTAGATCCTTACCTTAGATCATGGAGCATAGATGGCGTAAACACCTTAGAAGATAGTATGCACCACCATGGTCATATGGCCTCAAAAGGATGAAAAAGGATGGAGCTCTATGAGTGGGCCGTGGAGGCCTCTCTCTCTCTTTTTCTCTCTAAGTAATACTCATAAGTTGTGTAGAGAAATGAGGGTGACAAGGGTTTAAATAGAAGTGCGTTAGTGTGACATTGTGAGTGAATAAATCTAAGTTCTTTATGCTACTCATCTATGGTACCTGAGAGGGCTATGATCCAAGCCATACATCCATGTCTAGCCAAGATCAATGGATGTGATTGCACACCATTATCACTCCATAAAACCATAAATCTAGCCATTTTACCAAATTATCCTAAGGTACGAAATATTTTTTTTTGAGAATTAAGGTAGGAAATAAATTTCTCATAAGTCTTTTACTCATTCCAAAATAGTCCACAAGACTCATGAAAAGAAGGAAACACCAAAAGGGTAGGGGAGTGCCCTTATGGAACTCTATTTCATAAAATTCTCCAATTAAGATAATTCTCATAGATAACCCGATCACAATGTGCTATTTAAAGGAATTCACAGAGGCTTAGCCAATAGGATTAAGCCACCTAAAAAGGTGGATCAAGGTAGTATTTCCATCAAATACTTAGGGTTTAGATCAATATATCATGACTAGCCCTCAATCCTAGGCACATGTTATCAAACCCACATGTGTGGTAAAAACCCATGTGATAATTAAAAACAATTAAGTCATAAAACATAACTTTATTTAACAATTATAACTAAAATGAACAAACAACCTGATTCCAAAAAGAATATACCACTTTTTGTTTGGTGTCATGCTGATGTCATCAACTAGGTGGGGCCGTGGGTTGCCAGGTGGCCACACTATGGCCACTTAGGGGCCATGTGGGACCCCCCCACTAAGTGTCCTTCCTTGGAATTTTCCCCAAACAAATTTCAAATGCTCATGTTATACTCCCAAAAATTCCAAAAAAAATTCCCAAAACATTCTTAAAAAAAAAAAAACAAAAAAAAACTATTCGAAAGATACCCATTCAAGATATCTAAAATACTTTATGGGATGCCACAACATGTCCAAATCTATCTCTTGCTAATAGGTTATATTTAAGAACAAGAGATGAAGAATGACTTCACAAATTCAATGGCGTGATAGAAGTTAAGACCTCACTTAAAATAAATCCATTCTACATTAATGGATATATCATCCCTCAATCCTCCGCAGCTCCAACAACTCCTTAGAGATCGTGGAAAGAAAGGTTTTATAGACCCCAAACAGAACTCAAAACCTAAAGTAAAAACGAAGTTAAATGAACTGGGAGTGGGAGTTCAGGGGCACCGAAGTTCCAAAAGGTCCATGATTGAGAATGTCTATGAAATGTCCTGTGTACACAGTGCTCATACCTTTGTGGTAGTGATCTTGTATATCTGCGTCATTCCCAACACTAGCATTTCCTATATGATTTATAGGCCAATCCTAATGGCAAATTGTTTCTTCAACCGCTTTGTTTTCCACGTGCATTTATAGTTATTTATGGAGACCCTAGTGAGTGAGAGTGTGTGTGTGCACGTGTATTACATACACATAGATGATTTGGACTTCAAGCAAACTGAACCAATATAATAAGTCCTCCAATATTACCATAAGAAGCCACAACAAAGTTGTTGTAGAAATCACAAGGTGTACATTGATTTAAGAAAATTTAGAGTTCAGAGGCCATTCACTTATTAGAATCTTGATATGCTTTGTTGGAAGCCGAGTGATGCCAAGTTGGGTTCTGATGAAATCAAATCACTAAAAATTTACCCAGAGAGAAGTGTGGTGATACAGATAACTAATGGGAAGTGTGGTTATACCAATCACTAATTTCAGCAACAGAAATTACAGCATTGAATTCTGCTGGTTATCTTTTCATTCATATGTTCACTGACATACAAAAAGATATTTGCGACAATTTAGTCACTGACTTCCAGAAAAGCAACCAGATGCCAACTAAACTAACTAAAACCCTAAAAAGATGAGGCCCTAACACACTTGCATCAAGAGGGAAAATAATTAAGAGATCATTAACAAGTCCAACATAGAAATTTCCAGATCATCCAAGTATCGCAAGCAAATAGCCCACAATGACAATATCAATACAAAATAAGTATGTCTTCACAAATTAAACTAGGAACAGTACAGAGCTAGAACACCCACACTGCTGAATTCTAAAGTCAATTAGAGGAATCCAGAGTTCAGTTAAAAGAAGAGCAACCCATATCAAGAATGTCCAACTAGAATACAGAGAAAGCAATTACCCAGAAGCTGAATGTCTTTTGCTGTAATATTCAGACAATCGGCGAGTAACAGGCTTAGTTTTTTTTGGAGAATTCTTCTTCAATCCAAATATCTCCTGTATGACAGGCACTCTGACCAGCAATACCTTCCAAGCCACAACCCATCCTTGAATCCAAAAATCCAAATCGTTACAAAAAAATAAAACAAAGAAAGATAAAAACTTTATTGATCATAGTAGGCCTTAAATCCAAAACCCAATAAAATAAAGATAAAACCGAAAAAACAAAGGATAGAAATTTCAGTTATTAGGAAAAAATTCCTTAAAACCGAAATAAAAAATAATATGGTGAGAGATAAAATTGACGATGAACCTATAGAGTTCCAGAAAGTACCTAAACCAATCACAGTGAGAACAAATACCGTGGCGAGAAAAGGGCGGAGAACCAATAAACAGAAGGTATCCCAACCAGCCATGGCCAATTCTAGAAGCTTCATATTTACCTCTCCCAAACATAAATTCATTCTTTTGTTTCACTGTTGCTAAAATAAAATAATTTTTTTTTTTGTACATGTGCTTTTTAAACTTTCCTTTGACGGCTGGGGAAATCAAAAGTTTTATAAACAAGTGGCTTAAACTATTTTATGAACCTTCAACAAAAGTGAGCCGTCCGTGCATGACAGCTGCAACTCTTGCAAGCCCTAGGTACGGCCCGGCGAGGGAAGGTCGCGATAAACGTGATATCCGTTTTAAACATAGACCCGGGGGAGTAAGTTATCTATTTGCTCCCTCGGGTAAAACCTAACTTAGGAGTATCTTTTGGATTGTAACCTCTAAAACATAAGAGCCAACCTCCGAAGAACATAAATATTCAAATCTCATGCTCTATGTACTTGAAAAAAATGTCATCTCAAAGAATTGAACCGGTGATGTCCAATCTTTGTAGGGCATGATCTAAGTGCTGCATACTCAAAAAAAAAAAAATTTTGGATAAGTAAAAAAAATTTAAATTTTCCTTTTAAAAAAATATTCATCTATTGATCCTTAGGTGAATCCCAAAATCTTAGATAAGAAAACCCACCCAAGTAACTTTTATGCCCAAGAGAGTTATGTATGGCATGTTATATGTACTCTTTTCTATTTTTATGGTGGTCACAATAATTCTTGTTAATTAAATTTTCAAAATAGGTGGTTGTAAGAGTGTAGTAGAACAGATACAAAGTTTTTTTTTAAAAAAAAAAAAAAATATAGCACTTCATGACTCACTCCATACCATCCAATTTGATATCTAATGAATGGGAATGATTATGAGTTCTATATACAAAAGATAAATGATCTCTTGGTACACAATCCCTATTACCTAAAAATGAATTTCTAAAAAAGTAAAGGTGAGGTTTATATAAGGGGAAAGCTTTCTATGTTTTCCTTACAACATAGAAGTTCTATCCTCCTTTTTATCCAACCGTCCATTTATTAATGGACGGTTAAGATTGTTCGAATCACAATGTTACGTCTCTACACTGTTTTATTTTTAAATTTTTTCTATAAACTGTTTTGACACCAAATTTTGGACGTCTATTCCTCTATTAAATTCTCACTAAGAAAAATATAAAAAAAATATTTCAATAAAATAAAATGACCAAATTACCTTTAAAAGTTTTAAGGGGTATTTTAGTCATTATTTATTATAAAAAAATATTGTTAATATGTTTAATAGGTGCCCCCCAATGAGAAAATGGCACGTACCAAATTTCATGTTCAGAAAAATTGTATTACCAAATTTCATGTTCAGAAAAATTGTATTAAAAAAACTAAAAATAAAATACTTTGAGACGTCGGATATAAGATCAAACGGTGGGTGGCTCTCTTGATAAAATGGACGGCTGGATGGTAAAGGAGGATAGAACTTCTATATTGTAGAGGGAACATAGAATGCTTTCCCTTATATAAAGTACCCACCTTATCCTACACAAGTAAGATACACTTCTTTATTTTGTTGCTTCAATTGTCGGAAACCTTATGATGGTTTAAAATTCCATGTTCAACCTTCATTATGAAATTTAAAATTTTAAAAATGATGTAGATCGGATAGATCTATAAATACTTGAAAATCTTGTCCAAATGGCGAACTATTTTTAAGACTAGAAATTTTTTCCTCTTTTTTTTTTTTTTTGTTTTTGTTCTCATAAATCTTAACGTATATTTTCCAACCTAAGAACAACTTTCTTGAAGTACACCTGACTGCGACGATATAAAGTTGCAATCTTATATGAACTTTTTCCAAAAATAAATGGTTTTGAGACCTTAAAACACGAGACGTCGTTGTTCTCCAATTGGACGGTGCGCAAAAGGAGTTTTACTTGCAAAATGGTTTCTGTTATTCTTTTTATTTTTAGGGGTAAATGTTTTATGCCTTTCTTAATTAGCCAAAAGATTTCCTACTCCAGTGGGAGCATAGTATCCGTATACTTCCTTAGACAAAACTTACACTAGCAATATCTTTTAGATTAAAAAATTTGGGGACGTGATCTCTCGCAACCAACCTCAAAAGGAAAATAAAATTAAAATTAACTCACTGTGTACCTAAAAAAATGACATCTCAAGATTAAACCATCTAATTTTTGGAAGAAATTGACCTAGATCATCAAAAACTTAGGATCCAAATTTTTTTTTCTGAAAATAATTATCTAGTTATAATCAGATGGATCCTGAAATTGAAAAAAAAAAGAATTCCTTTTTGCCCGAAAGAGCAAATGTATGGTATGCTCCCGAGGAAGCATAGTACACGCCTTACTTAATTATTAGTTACTACGTGGGACTTCACCACCATTGTTCCTTGGATTCAAAGGTAGAATGGGTGACTCACCAGCCTCATCTCAGCCTGTTCAGAATGCGGCATGTTTGGGAGCAACCCTACTCATAGTTGGTTGTGTTTCATTTTTGGGCTTTTTCTACACAGCTATCTTGTCCAAGCTACATCCACCTCCTGCAAACCAATTTATATCTGCCATCCAAACGGACAGGTATTCTGGATACATCCATTGTTTGGAGTTTGGACTTCCTATTTTGTACTATTGCACTGAGGGCTCCCAATGGTCTTTTCTTGTGCAAGTCCAAGCTCATTTATTAATTCTATGCTCATTGAACATATGATATGTTCCTAGATTGAAAAGATATTCTGATTAAGGAACTTTGATAATGCTCATTGAACATATGATATGTTCCTAGATTGAAAAGATATTCTGATTAAGGAACTTTGATTGTGATCTGGTTTTAACTTCCTGGATTGAATTTACTTTGGTTAACAACTACAAATGCTGAATGTAATTCGGAGTAGTGAGTTTCTTATTGTCTAAATTCAGATTGAAAATTCAAATGAAGAGATAAATTCATTGAGACTTACCAACTGAAATTGCCTGCATCTGTGGAAAGCCATGAAATTTTACAGGAACAGGAAACACAAGACTTAATCTGGATTTCTTTATCATTCTACTCAGTTTTAGGCCTCCATTGATCGTGCCACAGACCTTTTGTTTCATGCTCTAGCTCTTCTATGAAAAAGCAGCCCAATGACTCTAATAGAGCAGGTCATTGCTAAGATTGGACACATGCTTGAAAATATGGTTAACATGTAAATGGCCCCAGTCGTAGGCTAGGAATTGACCGGTTACGGTGCATTTGGTGACGTCAATGGCAGGCTCTCCTAAACCCAGCCTTAAACTCACTTCAACTTATAATAATATGATGAAATTTTTGGTAGAGTAGAGATGCAGGTGGTGATGTGGGCTTAAGCCTTCAGAGGCGAGCATGTATTGTTTGTTCGCTTCAGGAACTATTGCACTTCAATACTTATCCTTCTGTTTATTCCGTTCTTCTAATTTTATACTTCTGTTTGTTTCATTCTTCTAATTTTTGCAGGCTTATCGACAGGTATAAATGCTTGTTTTTCTTAATCATGACTAGATGTTCTGACATCTGCGTTATCAACTTTTTGTTGTTAGGTTTCAACCAAGCTCCTATACGAAAATAGGAACACCTAGTATCGGATTCCACCAAGATTGTATACTTCGCAGGCTAGAAACAAAATAGGCACGTACAAATCATAATAAGAGCATGGGGAAGCATAGATACACACACAAATCAAGAATACAAAGATTTGTATCGTTTTATCCCCAAGGGGCTACATTAACGGCCATCACAAAATCAAATCCACCATACCAATGAGAGTTACCTCTCTAACCCTTGACAAAACATGGTTAAGTAACCTTTTTAGACTAGCTCTTTCAACCAACGTCTTCGGTGGATCGCCCATCTCTCTTCAACTACTAAATCAATTTCCTGGACAATAACCTCGAGACCAACAAAGATTGTCTCTTAACTAAAAGGGGGTATCACTCAAATCTTTATGGGAGCACTCTCACTGCTTTACTGTTTCTCTTTCTAGGAAGCTCACTTCTCTTATTGACAGTCTTTTATCTAAGTGCATCTCTCTTTCAAGAGCAAGCAGACTGTTCGTATTAGGGGTGACCCATCAAGAGCACACCTATTCTTGATCTTCTCATTCCTTATATAAGGTTTTAACCCCCTACATGATTTTTCCTAAACCCAAAGAAACACGTCCCATAGAAATTGGAAACTCCTCTTAGACTCATAGCATGGTGATTTTTCAAATCAACAAAATCTTGTTTTCCCATAGAGTAAGAAGACTTGTTACGATAATCTTGGGCATTGATTTTTGGAGATCACCGTATCCAACATTGGCACCATATTGTACCACAGTGCTATACACAGCCAGTTCATTGTCCAATAATCTGTTCCTAGTACTTGAACATCAGCTATCAGGTAAAAAGAAAAAGAAAAAATAGACTTCTTGGTTTCTCAGCAATCAGCAACTAATGTGCCTGTTAAGATTTTTTAATACAGGCATGAGATTTATTTACTTACCAAAACCAATTTCTCTAGTGATGCTCAATGATGGCACAGTTTAAACCTTCAAGAGTGGCTCAGTTTGATATTATATGTAACAAAGTCCTGGAGAGAATTGGGCCCATGCTCTTCATGACCAATGTTTCTATGCAGAAGCTGCCATTGAATCAATAAAATTTGGATCCTGTTATCAAATGATGTTTTCTTCCCAGTTAGGGATTTTGTATTATTACTATTGTTTTCTGTGTTAGATCTTTTTCATCTTACCTGATGTACTTCATGGTATATAAGGGAATTAGTCCATCAAGTTAGGGACCTAACCTCTCTCAGTAACGGAAACAAATCCTGCTCCTCTGGGTTTGTCATGTTGGTCCTTTCAATCATTGGATAATATTCATCTTTCCCTCCAGCTTCTCTCCTCATTGTCTTTTACCCCTAAGAACCACATCTTCAAACTGTTCATTTTGATGTACAGTACATTCAATTTGCACTCCTTAAGGGCCTCCTCTTCTCCAACACTACTCTTCAGGTTACATCTTTACAAACTCGGATTGGTCTACTGTCTAGATAATTATTTTCTACCATCGATTTGTGTACTTTTTGTATTTATTTTGTGGGAAACAACAAAGCAAGAGAGTTCTAAATATAGAGGCTCTGTAGAATATCCAATTGTTCTACTTTGGGAACTTCATATTCATATGATGGCTTCAGTGTGACTACATTCGAACCATGTGTTTTGGATAGCCACTTTATGTAGGATTTACTTGACTGATGTAATGTATATGCTGAATATTACAATAGAGAGTAGCCAACCTATTCACGAATTGTCTCTCTTTGGATCACTTGAGTTTCTAGGTGTACGAACACTTGCTGCTTGGTCCTTACCAACATGTCAATCTTTTTGTTCAGGTTACCTTGGTTTGTTCATCTTTTGCACCTTCGATATTTATTGTTATTGAAACACCAAGTAATGCATAATTGATTGGGATTTTGCTGTGCTAATACAAAATTTGAAGTCAATAACATGGTTATTTGCAAATGATGTGTTTGAGTACGAATCAGAAAAATGTAAAGACAAAGAAACAGTTCCCTACGAAACGAGAACCAGCTATCTCTTAGAGTGATACAGTGAGTATACTTCGATGAATAGCATCCCAAATGCATGATCTGCCCAATCACTTGGCTAAAACCAAAAATAATATGACTTTGAGAATGAATGTATGTCAAAACGACAAATGTCCATAAAAAAGTCACTTAGGAGATCTTACTGGAGATGTCTCAATGGGATATATTTTTTCGTAACATGAATTTATTTATTTTGGCTCTTTGACCCTATAGATATGTGTATATGTATGTGTGTGCGTGTTTGCATACGTGGAAAAAGTTTATTTGTTTATACTGTAGAATTAAGGTGCACCGAGAATGGGCTGTGGCCTTGGTGGTAGTACCAACGAGTCCTATGATGAAGTATTTGACTCCATTCTCACCAAAGGGTAGAGGCCCAAATCCTCACTGACTTATCCTTTATTTACTTACCCAAAAAAAAGTAAGCTGCACCTCAAAAATCCAGCAAAAAAAAGGTGTTTTAAAGTTGGAAAAACTTCTAATTGATCATCTCGACTTTGAGATGTATGGATATAAAGAAAAAAAAAAAACTTTTCAAGTTAAAAAACTGGTGCATCTTGTAACAAATTATCGTGACAGTATATTTTCCATATTTTCAAGTGTTTATGGCTCTGCTCAATGTGTACCATTTTCAAAATTTTCAATTTTATTATTAGGGTTGAATACAAATTTTCAAGTTATCATAAGATTCCTCACACTGAAACTACATCTCCCAACAAAGTTTAAAAGGGTACAAAACAAGGGTATATAAGTGTCCAAAATCTGTTGCATACAATTATAAAATGCTCTATAGTGTGAGAACCCTAACATAACATATATATATATATATATATATGAAAAAAGCTGTTGTCAGCCCATGGGCTGATGGAACAGTGTAAGCCCAACAGCCCAAATTGAATCTGGGCTGATCTAATGATCATAGTTGTATTTCGTAACTGAATTTTAATTTTTTTCTACAAATCCAAATCACTTGAAATTTGGAGCGTCTATTCTTCAAAAATAGTGGAATCTAATAAAAATATCAAAAAAATAATTCGCATAAAATAAATTGATCAAAATACCCCTGAAAAGTTTCAGGGGTATTTTGGTCAATTTATTTTATACAAATTATTTTATTAATATTTTTATTAGATTCGCCTCGATGAGAAGAGTTGATGCTCCAAATTTCATGTTATTTGGATTTATATAAAAAAAATTAAAATGATAATTCCATGTTGCAACTAACGATTCGCACCTCCATGTGTTGATTTGTGCACGTAGGAAAGAATGAAATTCAAAATAAACCTAGATGTGATGGGTCGAGTGGACACCATTTTTGTATTTTTTTGTTCAACCCTTCAATGGCACTTTGGCCACCTCCATAAAAAAATGATGTATGTAGTTTTTGAACTCTCAATTTTACAAGTATGAACCTCTCATCCTCATCCATAGGGTCCTTTTCGGTTTGGATATCTCTTAGGCGCATTACCGATAACTTCCCCTGGAATTACACTGCAGTTTATTGTCCAAACTCCTCCATTCTTAGGCCAGACTTCTGGAATGAATTGGAAAGCATAGGCAGAACTCCACCCTGCTCCTGGTGTATAGGTGGGGATTTCAACATTACTCATTGGTCCTCGAAAGGAATTCAAACTCCTCCATTTCCAAAGATATGTTGGACTTCTTTGACTTCCTGTCTCGCCTAAACCTCATGGATATCCCTCTTCAAAGGGCCTTCTTCACCTGGTCAGGTTATTCCTTAAACCCTACCCTTTCCAAATTGGATAGGTACCTCATCTCTTTGGAATGGGATTCAATTTACCTGGCTCACACTCCTTAGCCCTCTCAAAGCCCACATCCGATTATTGCCCCATTTTACTAGACAACTCCCCTGTTTCTTGGGCCTCAAAACATGTCAGATTCAAATTGGCCTGGCTGGAGGAGCGTGACCTCCCTAATCTCATTCAACAATGGTGGGCCTCCTTCTCCAACCAAGTCCAGGGCTGGGCAGGTTTTCGACTGCAAAGAAAACTTCAACTCCTCAAAGGGGCCCTGAGAACCTGGAGCTCCTGACTGCAAGGCAACTTCCACTCCCAAAAAGAGGCAATTCTTCTCACCATTCAGCAATGGGACTCCACTGCAGATCTTCATAGCCTCCTCCCCATGGAAAGGGCAACACTATCTCAAGCAAAATTAGATTTCCAGAATCTCCTTCAGAAAGAGGAAATCTTTTGGGCTCAGCAGTCCCGTGTCAAATGGTTGAAACACAGAGGCCAGAATACTGTGTTTTTTCATAAAATTGCCAACTGCCGAAGGTGAGTCACTACTGTAACCCAGCTTAAAGTGGGCAATCAAATCCTAGATCAACCCCCTTAAATAGAAGGAACCATGATCGAATTTTTCCAAAACCTATTCAAGGTCCCCACTGGACCCAAGCCTACGATGGCAGACCTATCTTTCCTAACCATCCCTCTTCACTCACCTGCACGGCTCGAATGCTCTTCCGATGAAGTAGAAATCCTCAAGGCGATTTCTGATCTTGGCCAGGACTGGGCCTCAGGGCCTGATGGCTTCCCAATTGCCCTATTCAAAACATTTTGGCCGTTAAATCTGATATCATGGCCTTCTTCCTAGAGTTTCATACTAGAGGGGTAAAGCCATAAGGCTATGAACGTGACTTTTATCGTGTCGATCCCAAAAATCGAAGGGGCAGAGGAACTCAAAGATTTTAGGCCTATTAGCCTCATTAATAGTTCCTACAAGGTCCTTTCCAAAGTGCTCACTTCCAGATTTCGAGTGGTCCTTGGATAGGTCATTTCCCCCACCAAGGGTGGATTTGTCGAGGAGAGACAGATCCTTGATGCTACTTTGGGTAGCACACGAGGTCATCCACTCTAGACACGTCTCTAACATCTCTGGGATCGTTGTAAAGGTGGATTGGGAGAAAGCCTACGATCATATCAATTGGGTTTCCTCGACAAGGCTCTATCATGCATGGGCTTCGGGGATCGATAGCATCTTTGGATTAAAGGTTGTGTGTTCAGTCCTTTTTTCTCTATTCTAATAAATGGCTCCCCAAAGGGATTCTTCCCTTCGTCTCAGGGACTCCGCCAAGGAGACCCCCCCTCTCCCTTCTTATTTTCTATTGTGGGTGAGGTGTTCAGGAGATCTATCTCGCAGATGTACCAAGCTGAGCTTCTTAAAGGCTTCATGGTGGGTCGCCTAAGCCCCGTCATCAGCCATCTGCAATATGCCGACGACATGCTGGTCTTTTGCGACGCCTACTCTCAGCAGCTGAGCCACCTTCTCATCTTCTTGAAATGCTTCGAAATGGCCTCCGGCGAGACCAAAATGTCAAGGGTGGCAGTAAATTCATCCCTAGTTAATACTATCTCATCCCAGTGGGGGTACACTGCCAAAGAACTCCCCTTCTCTTACTTGGGATTACCTCTTTGTCTTGGTAAACCTAAGCTCAACCTTTGGAGTCACATAATAGATTTTGATTGTAGATTCGCGAGCTGGAAGGGCAGATTCCTTTCATTGGTTAGGCGCAGTTCTCTCATGAAGGCCACCTTCTCAAATATTCCGATATACTACTGCACAACATAAGTCTAAGTGCACTCTGTGGTGCGGCGTCTGGAACAACTCATGAGAAATTTCCTTTTGGTCAAGAAGTGGGGACAAGAAAATCCACCTCATTTCCTGGTCTCAAGGGGGTCTTGGGATATGCAGACTCAAGCTTAACAACCTTGCCCTTCTCGATAAATGGTGGTCGAGGCTGGCCACCCAAACCAACCATCTATGGCAGGATGTCATCAACTCCAAACACCGTGCTTTGGACCCATCCTGAGTCCCTGAGCGCAGTGCCCACAGTAACTCGTCAGGGGCCTGGAAATCAATCCTTCACCCGTACACTCAATTCAAATCCAATATCAGAATGCGCCCCCTCAGTGGTAACAGGACCCTCTTTTGGTTAGACCCATGGGTGGGCCACGAACCTCTAAAGGTCCAATATCCCAGTTTGTTTCGGCTCGCTACGAAAGCACAAGCCTCAGTTGAATTCCATATGGAAGTCTCGGGACATTGTCGAAACTGGAATCCCAACTTTAGAAGGGCTTTGATGGACCATGAATTGCAGCAGTTCCTCAGCCTCTCCTTGACCTTACATTCTCTCTTTCTCCCTCTTCGGTGCGCTGATAAACTAGTTTTGACCCCGACTCCTTCAGGAGTCTTCTCGGTCATATCCTTTTAGATCCCTTTCCCAACCCCAAACCCCCAATGGTGGTCTGTCTGTTTCTGTTAGAGCCTGGTCCAAGAGCACTCACAGTCGACCTCCTTCAGAGGAGAAGGATGCAGATCCCTAACAGATGTAGCATGTGCTTGGAGGAAGAGGAGACCAATGGCCACATCTTCATCCATTGCAATGTGGCATCCTCCCTTTGGACTGATCTCATTCAACAGTCCCATTGGCAATGGGTGACCCCTCCTACTGTCCCCCATCTCTTTAGAGCTCACTTCTCCCCTCCATGGTCTAAGGCAGGCATCACTTTATGGAGAGCCTCTGTGGCAGCAACCCTCTCGGTCATCTGACAGGAAAGGAACAGCAGAATCTTCTGCAGCCAATGGTCCAACCCGTCGGTCTTGATCGAGGTCGTCAAATCCTTGGTTAGATTTTGGGCAACTCACAATAAACAATTCAGCTACTTGTCCCTCTCAGAAGTCCAACTCAATTGGCCCTCCTTGCTGAATCTTTTAGAATACCTCATGCTTCTTTGTGGACCCCTTGATCCTGGCCAGATCAAGCTAAAGTTTGATGGATGCTCCCTGGGTAACCCAGGGCCAGCAGGCATTGGAGGTTTATTTTGAGACAATGAAGGAGTCATCCTGAGTTCCTTCTCCTTTCCTATTGGTTTTTCGGATTCTCCAGCCGCAGAAGCCCAAGCACTTCAGGAGGGCCTCAGAATTTTTTATCATCTTGGGCCATACTCTAGTAGTTGAAGGTGATTCCAAGAATGTGTTGGCTTGATCCTTGGACAGTTCATTGTGGCCTTGGAGTGGGTGATGCTTTTGACGCGACACAACAACTCAGTACCTCAACTCCAATACTGTGGTGCCACATTTGGAGAGAGGCCAATTCCGAGGCTGACACCTTGGCTAAGGGGCTTTCCAATTGGCTATAAACTTGATTCAACGTAGGGAAGTGACGTAGCACTTATTTGAGCATGCGTCTTCCCATCTTTACATTCTGTCTATGCTAATCTTTTCTACTGTATAGGATTGTCAGTTCATTCCTTTTCTGTACAGGGTACCCGTTTGTGGGTTGCCTTTTAATATTATAGCCTCTGTAATTCTACCCTCTTTAAATACAATGTTAACACACTCAAAAAAAAAGTATGAGATTTGTTATAAAAACACGGTTTCTTATTTTCACACCATGTATGTACAAGCTTTGGCACGAAATTGCCGAAGAGGGTAGTTCAGCTCCTAAGTCATCCACTCCATATCATTTCCTGTACTAATTGAGCGTTCCATAAATAATGCACAGCCAACCTAAGGACAGAATAAGACATTTTGCATTTGGTTTGCGCAAGTAGGAAGAAACTATAGCCCCCTAGCTATTATGGAGTCAGATCCATTCTAAAATAAATAAATAAACCAGCAGGTAAGTTAGTCTATATACTCGTCTTTTGTGAGCAATTAACTCAAATGTTCTCCAATCATATGCTTGCTTGGTCGCATCTGCATTTGGTGTATCCTGTGTAGGGAACAAAGCACTAAACACCAAAAAATTGGAATTGATAGAAGACCAAATCAAGCTGAAATCATCACAATGATGTAGGTCTGGAAAGAAATCCGAGGTTCCGTATGTGATTTTTTATGAAGCTTGACATTATATGAGAATGATGATAAGACCATACAAAAGAAAAACTAGCAAAATGTAGAGAAAACTTTTCCATAATATAAATTTGGCTCTTATGAAAGCAGCGTATCTAGCAATTCGGTTTTGAGGTAATTGATAGGACTACCCAATGATTATGACTCTTTATCAAAATTTGTTTGTATATAATAACTACTGCTACATTGCTGTTTCTACATAATTGGAATTCTGATTATTTTCTCATATGAGGTTAATTCTGTTAGGTACTACTGTTTGTTGGTGCCTTCAACACTTGCCATTCTGGTGGTAGCAGTGTACTTTCACTGGCTCAGCATGAAGCTCTTTAAGCATGCTTGAAGATATGCATGCATGTAAATTCCGTCCCCACATGTAGAATACTCCTGTATTTTAAATATGATATCCAAATTTTGCATTTGCATCCTGATGAACTTGTGCTGGGAATCAATGCATTCTTGGTGTACATCCAAATTGAATGATTTAAAATTGAGTATCTCTATATTGTAATGCAAAGTCCAGTTCCTTCGTAAGCTAAGCTTTGTCAAAACCCAATTAGTCAAGACTAAGCTCAAGTCTTGTCAAAACCCAAGTAGTAAAGACTGTTTTTTGTTCCTGCCCAATAGCGAGTTCAGTCATGAGTGGAACAAAACCACTAAGAGGGAGGGAGGGGAGAGAGAGAGAGGTTAGTCTGGGACACACTTTCAGATTCAATACGGTGACCTCTTTAAAGAAACCAAATGTTCAACCTTAGGGACATTGTGTAAATATTATTCATTTTATCCACGCAAAACATGCAGGTACAAATATGAGGTACTTGACGCACCAAGAGCTGAGGGACATTGTGTAACTATTATTCGTTTGGGAAAGCTTTCTATGTTCCCCTACAACGTAGAAGTTCTATGTTCCTTTTTATCCAACCGTCCATTTTTGAATGGAGGGTCAAGATTGCTCCAATCATAATGTCACGTCCCTCACTGTTTTATTTTTAATTTTTTTTCTACAAACTGTTTTGACACCAAAATTTGGATGTCTATTCCTATATTAAATTCGCACTAACGAAAAATATAAAAAAAATATTTTCAATAAAATAAAATGACCAAAATACCTCTAAAAGTTTTAAGGAGTATTTTGGTCATTATTTTTTATCGAAAAATTATTGTTAATATTTTTTATAGGTGCGCCCCAATGAGAAGATGACATGTACCAAAAATTGTATTAAAAAAACTAAAAAATATATATTTGGAGACGTCGGATCTAAGATCAAACGAAGAGCGACTCTCTTGATAAAAAATGGACAACTGGATGGTAGGGGGAACCTAAAACTTCTATGTTGTAGGGGGAACATAGAAAGCTTTCCCTATTCATTTTATCCACTCAAAACATGAGTTAGTTGACGCATCAAGCGCTCTTGGTACCAATATGACTTCGTTGACGCATCAAGCGCTCTTGATATTTTATGATAGGGCGTGACTTGTATAAGGTGTCAACCTTAAATAATCAAAGTAAGGCGCACCACTAAGTCTTGTCCAAAAATGCAATCTCAGTACCGGAATTATTTATGATGGCAATAAAATCTATTTTTATGCCTAATTATGAAATTTAAAACCCTACAAATGGTACAGAACATGCATATCTATAAATACTTGAAAATTTTGAAAATAGATGGTCCAAATAATACATTAGAAGATGCACTATATTTAACACTTAAAAACCTTTTCTTTTTTTCTATATATCTCAATGTCGAGATGATCAATTGGGAGCATCCGAATAAACCTTTTTTAGTGGGTTTTTTATGCCTTGTATAAACTTTTTCCTTCATGATTAGACAAGCTTTTTCCTTCATAAGGTCAGGATGGCAGTCAACTCTAATACCGTATTTTAGTTCTTGAATGTCATCCCCCCAAGCAAATAAAGAAAGCCACCTTTGCAAGGAATTGCAAATCAAGGCATTGGTATTTCTATCACTTCAAAAATTGTGAAAAGGTTTGGCAGGGAAGCATAGCAGAGGGGCATCCCAATTACCTAAATCTATTATGCAAATATAGAGTTCATCATTTAGAGATTTACATACCAAAAAAAAATTGTGATAGAAACACATTGTGCGAATGACAAGAATTTTTAATATGGGTGAAAATATCGTCTACATTTGGCCAACTAAACATTAAGGGTGGCAACCGGCTGGGCCAGGCTTGTCTCCTTGGCCAGCCCTAGCCCTGTTAGCACCAGGCTGAGCCAGGGCAAAAATAAATGAAGAAAAAGCGAAAGAGAACAAGAAAACAAGGGCTGGGCCGAGCCGAACTGCACAGGCACTAAGCTCTAGCCCAGCCCCTGGGCCAAAGTTTGTGGCCCATGCCCTAAGGGTTCCCTGGCCCATTGCCAGCCCTACTAAACATGAATATGGTCTATAACATATTCCATGGCTCTATTGTATGCTTTCCCAATCCATGAGGCCAATCCGATCACAAATTCAGCAATATGCAGTTTTCACACAGAGAAGTATTATTAGCGGCGTGCATCGCTCAAAGGGGTTGAAGTTTCAATCCAAAATTGGACATTTTAGTCGGTATACTTCTTAAAGAGCCTTAATCATGGGGATGATAAGTGCCAATTCTTTTTTTTAAGTTAGGATCATGACATATGGCGAGATCTGCTACAGCTGTATGGTTTGGAAAGAAATCCAAAACGAGAGTTAGTTTTGTTTTATGCACAATTTTTTTTGTAAAAAGTTTATGTAAGGATGAAACCTTATAATGTAGAACTATGGATGCACCTCAAAAATCCATCAGAAAAAGGTAGTTTTAACGTTGCAAAACCATTTGATTGATCATCTCGACATTAAGATGTATGAACATAAAAAATAAAAAGATTTTAAGTCTTAAAAATAGTGCATTTTACAACATATTATCTAACCGTCCATTTTCAAGATTTTCATATGTTTATAGATATACTTGATTTTAACCATATTTAAATTTAAAGTTTTATAATTAGATATAAAAATAGATTTTAAAATAGTTCTAAGAACATTTTATATCAAAATTATATATCATGATAAAATTTGAAGGTGCACCTTACCTCTATAGCTACGGATGCATCCGTATGCCAACTGCACCCTTGTTTTTTTACTTTTTGAGCTCGAACACAGATTCTTGACATTGCATATACCATGCCTTAGGTGCCCCTGATTGCTCTCTCACACACACACACAAAAAGTATACGTACGGTACCTTGGACTGTTTTCTTATGGATGGTTCACATAGTTTACACGAATTCCACCGGTACTGATAAATGTTGTGCATTACTGTTTATAAAAATATACATACAAGCCCACCGAAATGACAACAACAGGACATGGAAGCTCAAAAAAATAACTCAGAAAAACCATAGACATGTTTGTACAACTCTACACTAAGTTAAGTGTCAGTGGCATTGAGACTCAAGAACTTGGAGGGTTAGTATGATCTTCGTGGCGCCTTCTCACAAACAGTTTATCTATATCTTCAGTCGCAACATTGCTCCTGCAAAAATAATAACAATAGTAATAATAAATCAATAGTCACATACAAAGAATCACCAAGAAAACACCAGGACAGAACCAAAAAGAAAAACATTAAAGATTGATGAGGAAATCGGTTGACTCCAAATCATCAAAAGAAAAAAGTTCTGGACATGTTAGGCTAGTTAAAAATTGTGCTATAATCTTTTTTTTTTTCCAGGGTTAAGATGGGAGACTTTGTGCAAGAACCCCAGCCATTATATTAATTTCAAACAAAGATATACAAATGGCCCAAGACGAGAATTTGGTAAAAAAAACAAACTGGGAGCTGTTCGTTTAAGATGCAACTCAGCTCGTCGTTCTCAGCAAACCAGACCAGGATGGTGACAAAAACAAAAAATGGACTGATCATCATAATCAAAAAACTGAAGAAGTGCTGGATTTGAAGCTGTTAGCTGCATTGTATTAATAATAAAGAGTTACCAGTAAGACTGGTATACCATAAAACAGGCTACCCAAAACAACTGGAAGCCCTATACAAAAACCCTCAAGGGGCCCAAAAAATTCCAAATGAAACTGTACAATAAATCACGGGTGGGAGTAGGTACAAGAAGGGGTTCAGTAGCTCAAAAAGGTGCCTGGGAACCCCTCTAAAGGTTTACTAGAAGCGCCCTCCCTAGCAAGGAGGTCAGCTTCAGTATTAGCTTCCCCCCATATGTGCCTCCACGAGGTGCTAAGAGGGCTGATAATATGCAAAATTTCATCAAAGAGATGGGCCAGAGGTTGAGGCCCAGACAATGGTGTTCTTGGAGTCACCTTCGATGACCAGCATGTATTTTTGAGAAAGTTAACCTTGAATTAAGGACTCTAAGTGCAAGAAACTGGTGGACCACAAGTGGGTGTCCCAGGGGAAAGAAAACAGAATCAAAAGGCCTTCTTTTTGAAGGTTATAATCGAAAGAGCAACCCAAAAAAAGAGGCCGATCCAAAAAAACATGCTAGTTTCCTGCCAAAGATGCCGCTGCTTTAGCAAGGGTGTCGGCTTCCTAGTTTCCTTCTCTCCAGATATGTCTCCAAGAGATGTGGGTGTCCCTACAAAGGGATTCGATCTCATCGAAACACTGAACCAAGCACCAGGGAGGTAGGGTGGAGTAGGGCGTCTGCATCCAAGAGATGACGTTCTTGGAATCTCCCTCAATAGTACTAGAGAGGAAAGATAGGGATTGAACTAGCTTGAGTCCTTCCGCGAGTGCAACTGTTTTAGCCTCCAAAGAATCAGCACGACCTATAGGTTTAGAGATAGAGGCCATCATTGTACCAAGGTGGTCCTTGACGATAGCCCCTACTCCCGAAGGCCCAGGATTTCCGAGGGACCATTCATCGAAGTTTAGCTTAAGATGTCCTAGTTGAGGAGGTCTCCACAAGGATACCTAAAGTAAACGCTTGTGGCTGTATAGAAGAACAGCAGTCCAAATTTTGGGCAAAGGCCGAGGTAGACAACTCTTTGAATCTGTGGTGGTTGGATGCCCAGAAGACCACCGGGGATTTGAACTTGGCGAAGGTCTTGTACCATGAAGAGTACTCCCCCTGAAAGATTCTATTATTATGTTCAATCAATCCAAATAGCCCACAGCAAGGCTGCCACCGAAGATTCCAGAGTAAAGTCCCAGCCTTAGGCCAAGGAAAAGGTTGCAGGGCAGAGAAGATGGAAGGTACATCCGCAGGGAGCACCCATTCTATATTGATGAGGGTAAGAAGGTCCCCTCACGAATAGAAGGCGTAGGGGCAGTGCAAGAACAAATGGGGATTGGTTTCCTCATCTGCCGAACATAGAATGCAACGGTTACGAAGAGGAAGGCCTCTTCTTTGAAGCTGGTCTACTGTGAGCACCCTCGGGGAAAGGGCCAGCCACATGAAGACCTGAATTTTCGGGGGCGCAAAGGAAGCCCAGGCTTGCGCAACAACAGAAGTTGGATGGGCAGGTAAGGTTGGGGGCTGTGATAAATTTCAGTAGGAGTAGGAAACCGAGAAAGTCCCAGATGATGAAGGCGCCCAAATAATACGGTCAAGCCCAAGGGGGACGATGAACCAATCAGAAGTTCAGCTGCAAGGGCAGCAAAGAGAAGAATTTCTGGTTCGATAAGAGCCCTTCTGAAGAGTGGATTCCAGGATCTCTGGGAGCCAGTCATAGTCATCTCATCTGCAACAGTTGCATCTTGATTCCGGGCGAGAGAAATGAGACTTGGGAATCTGTCCATTAGAGGAGCATGCCCAAGCCACAGATCCTTCCAAAAAAGACATGATTGCCAGCTCTAGGGTGGAACCTGATGCGATCTTTAAACAGCTGGTGGACCGAGCATATCGATCTCCAAATCCCAGATGACCTGTGATTAGGCCTACAACTGGGGAGCCAAGGTGATGAAGGTATGCGATATTTAAACTTGAGAATGTCAGTCCGTAGGTAGTTCCTGAGAGCCACCACCACTGTCCTAGTAAAGCTAGAATTTTCTGTCTTAAATTTTTAATCCCCAGCCCTCCCTGGTTCTTAGGTTGGCAGAGTTTCTCCCAAGCTATAAGATGGAACTTACGGTTGGTGGCCTCACCCTCCCCCAAATATCTACGTATCAAGTGTTCGATCCTAGAACTGGGATATTAGCTAAGGTGGCTTTGATAAGAGTGTGCCTAACCCCCGGAGATAAGAAACGGCCCTTCTACCCAGCTAATTTGAGATCTACCTTGTCAATAATGTGTGACCACAACCTCTTTTTGGGTTTCCCTAGGCAAAGAGGTACTAGGTAGATAGAAGGCAAGTTGTCTACCCTACAGCCCCTGCTTTCAGTGAAACTGCTGAGCAAGGTGGGATCAACTGCTTGCCCCATCATCTTAGATTTGTCGAAATTGACCTTGAATGCAGTGGCATACTCAAAACACCTGAGAAATAAAAAGAGGTTATGCATCTCTTCGGGTAGGGTATTACAAAAAACTAAGGTATCGTCGGCGTATTGGAGGTGAGTAACCATATGGCCTTGGTTCCCAATCGAAAAGCCCTACAAACGGCCGGTTGCATACATCCTAGAGATCGAATGACTGAAAACTTCTGCTGAGATAGCAAAAGGAAAGGGGGACAGAGGGTCCCCTTGTCTGACACCCCTAGAAGAGGGGAAGAATCCTTTACCTTTAGGGGATCCATTGATTAGGATTGAGAAATAAGGGGTAAGAGTAGCAAGCTCTCCACCTGCTGCCAAAGCCCACTCTGGTCTAAGTTTCTTCAAGTAGAATCCAATCGACATGATCATACGCCTTCTCCCAATCAAGTTTAACAGTAATCCCGTATTCTTTGGTCAAGTGCCTAGAATGCAAGCATTCGTGAGCCACAAGGGCCCCATCCAATATCTGGCGATCTCTAATGAAAGCACTTTGAGATGGAGAGAAGACCAAAGGGAGGACCTCTTTAAGTTGAGAGGCCAAGACTTTGGAAAGAACTTTATAAGTAGAATTGAGTAGGCTAATGGGGTGAAAGCCTTTGAGGTGGGAAGCACCTTCAATCTTAGGAATCAAAGTGATGAAAGTGGCGTTCAAAGCTCGGTGGATTACCCCTCTAGAGTGGAATCTTCGAAGAGAGCCAAGAAGTCATCTTTAAATGAATCCCAGAATAATTTGAAAGGAGCTAAAGGGTACCCATTAGGGCCCGGTGCTTTATCCAAACCCAAAGAAGAAATGGCAGCAGGATCCCAGATTCCGAGAAAGGCCTTTCCAACCAAACAGCTTTTGTCGAGGGGAAGCAATAGGAAGGAAAGGTCTCCCATGGTGGGTCTGGGGTTTTGAGGAGCAGAAAACAGGTTTTTGAAGTAGGATAGGATGCGCTGCTCAATTTCCAGGGGCTGGTCTAGCTGGCTTTTCCCAAGTGAGAGATGGTATTATCTCTACGCCTGCAGTTGGCAGTTTTATGGAAAAACCCTGTGTTAAGATCACCGGCCTTGAGCCATTTGATTCTGGACCTCTAATACCAGAAGATTTCCTCTTTATTGAGGATGGCTTGGTATTCAAGTTTGAGTTGGCCCCTTTGCTGAATTTCAGAATCCGTGAGTGGCCTTGCTTCCTCCACATTATCTAGGGTCTGGACTGCCATCAAAATCGAGTTCTTATAGGGTCCAAAACATCCTGGGAGCTGCCTACTCCAGGATTTAAGATGAGCCTTCAGCAACTGGAGCTTTCGTTGGATCCTGAAACCAGCCCAGTCGTCAACCAATTCAGACAATGACTGCCACCAGGCTGGGCATAGATGTAAGAGGGAAGGTTCTTCCAGCCATGCCAACTCAAACCTGAACGGTTTGATAACTCTTTCAGCAGGATTAGAGTTGAGTAAAATAAGACAACGATCAGAAGTGGGCTTGGGTAAGGCCACAAAGTGCGAGCCCGAGAAGTCAGAGAGTCCCAAGAAGCGGTCCAATTTCGATAGGGAAGGGGACGCAACATGGTTGGATCAGGTGTATTGGGCTCCCTGAATGGCTAGGTCGATAAGGTCGTTATGGGCCACAAAGTCAGAGAAGGCAGTCATGGCTTGAGTGATTCTGGTGGAGTTATTTCTCTCAAAAGACCACCTAGTCACATTAAAGTCTCCCCTTATGAACCACGCCAGGTGAGGGAGGTCAGCCACAATGTTAAGCTCCTGTCTAAGGGCATCGAGGTTAGGACCGTACACTGCAGTAAATTTCCACAGCATACCGTCAGGAATCCTAGAGACGAGAATAGAAACAGAGAATCTGGCTACGAAAGACGAGCAAAGGGAGTGGGCAGTCAGATCCCAGATCACCCAAATCCCCCCCGAAACACCTTCGGCAGGGAGAGCCACCCATTTGCAGGGCCTGCGTCCCCATACCAATCTGACCTGAGAGAGAGGGGCAAGGGAGTTTGGTCTCAGTGAGCACCAAGACCATGGGCTGAAGCCTAGGACTAAGGTCCCTTACTGCCTGTTTTTTGTTGGGAAAACCGAGCCCCACGAATGTTCCAGGATGCTATCAAC